CTGGCCAACATGGTGAAACCCCATCTCTACTAAAAAATACAAAAATTAGCGAAGCATCGTGGCTCATGCCTGTTATCCCAGCTACTTGGGAGACTGGGGTAGGAGAACTGCTTGAACCAGGACCCAAGAGGCAGAGGTTGCAATAAGCTGAGATTGCGCCACTGCACTCCAGCCTGGGCTACAGCGCAAGACTGCATCTCAAAAAACAAACAAACAAACACACAAACTATGAGCATTAATAACTCAAATGAAAATAAAATGTTTTAAATTAGGGTGGATTTTCATCTTTAATATAAGGAAAAGTAAATGAAAGTCTAATGGCCTAAGAGGAGAAAAAAACTTATCATAAACTGGGAAGTGGGTGAAAGTGAACAAATAAGGGAAAGACCATTTTAACTTGAAGAATGCATGTTTCAAAGCAGGTGGAGTAATCCTTTCCTCAGATATCATCCAAAGCCAACAAGAAGAACAAGAAGCAATAAAAACTTCCTCACCGGTGAAACTGATACACATCTGTAGCCCCAAACAGTAAAATGCAAAGACTCAAAACGTTGGCTCATGGAGAAGCAGTAACTAGCTTGGCCCAGGGCGTGAAGTGAAACCTAAGAGGGTAGACTAGAAGCTAGTATGCTGGCCCTCAGGCTCAAGAGCTAGAAGCAGCAGATACTGAAGATGGTGACAGAGTTGGGGTTGCTGAAAAGAGAAGGCGTCACTGAAAGCCTACATAAAGAGCATTTGGACTCCAGACCCCGACTCTCCCCTCTGCAATCAAGGGTCTACCCCTCCCTACCTTCACAAGAGGCAAGAGGTTTATTCTCTGGAGTCGCTGAACCAAGCTTGAGATGCAGTAGGCACTGTTAGGGCAGAGCTCAGGTACTGAAAGCAAAGCAGAGGCATTAAGTAAAACCTTTGAACAGAACCCCATGATCCCAGGCTGGGCACAGTGGCTCATGCCTGTAATCCCAGCACTTTGGGAGGCTAAGGCGGGAGAATCACCTGAGGCCAGGAGTTAAGGATCAGCCTGACCAACATAGTGAAACCCCATCTCTACTAAAAATGCAAAAATTAGCCAGGCATGGTGGCACATGCCTGTAATTCCAGGTGCTCAGGAGGCTGAGGCAGGGGAATCGCTTGAATCCAGGAGGCAGAGTTTGCAGTGAGCCAAGATCACACCACTGCACTCTAGCCTATATGACAGAGCGAGACTCGGACTCAAAAAAAAAGAACCACTTGATCCCAGCCCAGCTCTAAGGATATCTGCAAACCTCTATGGAAACCTGTATACCCTTCAAAGAGGAGCACCCAGGAACAGTAAGCACTGTGAACACCCTTCCTATGAGCCCAGGAAATAGTGACCATCTATCTCAGTAGCAACCATGATGCCCCAAAGACCAGAGCCCCATTCCCAAACTTTGTAGACCCTCTACCTTAGCCCCTTGTGTCCCCACCTCCAAAAAACAGCACACTGTATTTCCTAACAAGAGGTGGGTGGGCACCCTGAGCCATTTTTCATTTTGTTTTGAAAAAAATAACACAGATGTATGTTTATCTCACATCCAAGCATTGTGGCTGTCACACTTGCCTTTGTTCAAACTATTTCTTCTGCCGCAAGTGCCCTCCAGCCCCTCATCTTCCTGGCAAAATCCTCATTCCAAGAGCATCCAAAAGGTTGCCTTCTTTCTCTAGTTTTCGTTTTTTCTCTTCCACTTGGCAGAATTAACCGCTCTGGCATGTTGATTCCCATAGCTCTCTCAGCTCATTTTCAAGACAGCACTTTGTTCTCCGTACCCTTGTCATTGTCTTGGGTGTGTGTATCTGTACTAGATTATGAACTCTTTGGTGAAAAAGAGAAAACAATGCGTCCTATCCATCCTTGAATGGCCAATATCTCCAATCTCTTGGATCAAAGTCTGATAAGAATCAGCTAGTGCCATCAAAGGACTCGCTATCATCTTCTAGGAATTCCACAAAGTCTGAGGAGCTGCCTATGTATGCTAAAAATAAGCATAATATACTCCATGTAAGAATGTAACACTAGATATATTTATTACTTTTATGTAATAAAAACCATGAAAGTTTATTTTTTTGAGACAGAATTTCGCTCTTGTCACCCAGGCTAGAGTTCAGTGGTGCGATCTCAGCTCACTGCAACCTTCACCTCCCAGGTTCAAGCAATTCTCTTGCCTCAGCCTCCCAAGTAGCTGGGATTACAGGTGACTGCCACCATGTCTGGCTAATATTTGCATTTTTAGTAGAGACAGGGTTTTACCATGTTGGCCAAGCTGGTCTCGAACTCCTGACCTCAAATGATCCACCCACCTTGGCCTCCCAAAGTGCTGGGATTACAGGCATGAGCCACCGTGCCCAGTCTGAAAGTTTCTTTAAGCTAGAAATAAGACCCTAGAACTATATATACCCATGAGCTTCACTTTCATTCTTGAGGAAAAAAAATCACCACCCAATCAATTCAGTAAACACTCTTAAGAAAGTTTGGACCTGAGGCTGGGCGTGGTGGCTCACACCTGTAATCCTAGCACTTTGGGAGGCCAAGGTGGGTGGATCACCTTAGGTCAGCAGTTCAAGACCAGCCTGGACATCATAGTGAAATCCCATCTTAAAAAAAAAGAAAGAAAGAAAGAAAGTGTGGACCTGAATAATAAACAGCATGGTTCCTAATAACTAACCTGTCTGGATCATCTCGTTCCCCACATTGGAGGGACAGTTTGGGGAGAGTAAGAGGAAGGGGAATTTAACAAAGTGCTTGTCAGCATTCTAGAAAGTATGGGACATGCTTGTAACCATGTGCTGGTTGTCTGACTACAAAAAGAAGGCCTGGAAGAAGCGATCTACAGGGCTTTCTCCGTGGCCTAGGCTCTGGGCCTTATTGTTAATAGCAGGAACTACTCTTAGTGTGTTTAGCCCTGGAGATCACAGCAGAGGCCAGTAAGAAACATCGCACTTGATATTGCCACAAACCAGAGCAGTTGCATCCTTTCAAGCAACAATTCTCTTTGACAATGAGCTCACCATCAAAAACCCTTCGTTTTTCTTTTCTTTTTTTTTAAAGATGGGGTTTCTCCATGATGGCCAGGCTGGTCTTGAACACCTGACCTCAGGTGATCCACCCACCTCGACCTCCCAAAGTGCTAGGATTACAGGTGTGAGCCATCGTGCCCGGCCCAAAAACCCTTTTTTTCCTACAATTTTTTTCTTTTGTTTTCTAGAGATGGTGTTTCACCACATTGGCCAGGATGGCCTCAATCTCCTGACCTCATGATCCGCCCACCTCAGCCTCCCAAAGTGCTAGAATTACAGGCGTGAGCCACTGCATGCAGCCCAAAAATCTTAACACAAGAGGAAACCAACATCCCTCTTGAGAAGGATGCATTAAATACACAGAAAGGAAGAATCTACAGTACAGGGACTAGGAGTAATAGAACTATCTGAAAGCGATTTCAAAATTAGTTTGGAGCTGGGCAAGGTAGTAAGAAGCTATAGGCTCAACTACTGGGAGGCTGAGGCAGAAGGATTGCTAGAGGCCAGAAGTGCAAATTCAGCCTGGACAACATAGCAAGACCCTGTCTCAATTTGAAAAAGAATAAAAAGGCGTGCAGTGAAAAGAACATTACATGATCCTGGACGAATCACTTTAAATAATAATATTTATAAATTTGTTTTAAATGTGTAAAGAGCTAGAGAAAAAATAGAATCTACACGGCAAGAATAGGACATTACTTTTTTAATTATCTCCATATTTTTAAATGGGCTAAATGAAATACTAGAGATGAAAATATTGAAGCTGGGCTCAGTGGCTCATGCCTTTAATCCCAGCACTTTGGGAGGCGGAGGCGGGTGGATCACGAAGTCAGGAGTTCAAGACCAGCCTGGTCAACATGGTGAAACCCTGTCTTTACTAAAAATACAAAAGTTAGCTGGGTGTGTTAGTACGCACCTGTAATCCCAGCTACTCAGGAAGCTGAGACAGGAGAATCACTTGAACCCAGGAGGCAGAGGTTGTAGTGAGCCAAGATAGCTCCAGGATAGGTGACAGAATGAAACTGTCTCAAAAAAATATAGTCGCTGGATTTTCAAACTTTTCTAAAGGTAGAACACCATTCTAGGGCCTGGCACAAAGTATAGCTTTTAGAGTCCATCCAGCTTTTTTTTTTTTTTTTTTTTGAGACAGGGTCTTACCCTGTCACTCAGGCTGGAGTTCAGTGGCATGATCATGGCTCACTACATCCTCCACCTCTCGGACTCAAGCAATCCTCCCATCTCAGCCTCCCATGCAGCTGGGACTATAAGCACAAACCACCTTAGTGTCATATTTAGCTAATTAAAAACAATTTTTTTTCCTTTGTTGAAATGAAGTCTCACTTTGTTTCAAACTCCTGGTCTCGAACAACTGGGCTCAACCGAACTTCGCACCTCAGCCTCCTGAAGTGCTGCGATTACAGGTGTGAACCACCACACCTGGCTCCTGTATCCAGTTTCAAAGAGTCTTTAACAGAGTTCTCCAGCCTGGATTCCTCACTAGGGTTACTTCTCATACACCATTGCCGAAAACATTGTTGCATGCTACCATGTGACCAGCATTAAGCTGGAGGGGAGGGGAGTGGTAATAAAAATGAAGGACAGTCTCTGCCCTTGAGAAATTTATTGTCTAATAAGAGAGTGATTTCTGTGAGAGACGTACAAGAATAACAACACATTCTAATGATAAAACTTGTCATTGGAACAGTCCATGTGCCCAGCTCTACATAAAATGCCCTCCCTATTGCATTCTGTAGTCCTCATAAGAACTCTGTAAAGTCAGTATTATCATCTCCATTTTACCACAGAGAAAACAGATGCTCAGAAAGTGATAGTAATTTTCCCAAGTCAAACAAGTAGTAAATTTAAGAGTTAGCATTTGAATCTATGTCTTCCGACCCCAGTACCACCCACCCACCTCCTCTTTTTTTGCTCTGCTTGGCTGCGTTTGGACAAAATGCTTTCAGGCGCCCGCTTCAGCTGCACATCCACTCAAAATGGAACAATACAGAGATTAGCATGACCCCTGCACAAGGATGACATGCAAATTCATGAAGTGTTCATAAAAAGAAAAAAAAAGTGGCCGGGCGTGGTGGCTCATGCCCAGCACTTTGAGAGTCTGAGGCAGGCGGATTACAAGGTCAGGAGATCGAGATCATCTTGGCCAATAAGGTGAAACCCTGTCTCTACTAAAAACACAGAAAAATTATCCAGGCGCAGTGGTGGACGCCTGTAGTCCCAGCTACTTGAGAGGCTGAGGCAGGAGAATTGGAGGAGGTGGAGATTGCAGTGAAACGACATCTCATCACTGCACTCCAGCCTGGGCAACAAGAACAAACCTCAGTCTAAAAAAAAAAAATTGTAGGGAAGTCAACTCAGAGGGGTTTGGGAAATTGCATCCATGTGTTCACAGGAACATCAGCAGTTTTTCAATCCTGGCTCTTCTATTTACCGCTATTTGAAAGCTATTATTAACCTCCGAACCTCAAGTGTCCATTTCTTTATCTCTCAAATGGGGCTAAGAATGTTTGATTTGCAGGCTTTTGTCAGAACTAAATGAGATAATTTATGTGAGATGCTCAGTGCCCTACACACCCCCAGAAGTCAACAAATGTCAGATATACATATGTATATTATTCTATCAAAAGCTGAGAAAATTGAGGGAAATGTAATTATAGCTTTCCAGAATATGAAGGGTTTTGAAAGAAAAGATGATAACTGTTTTCCACATTCAGAGAGAAGATAACAACCAAAAAAAAGGATTTTAATTAATATGATAGGAGTGTCGGAGGTTGGAATACATTTCAGAAAGTTGGAAGGGGGGCAGGTTATTCAGTGAAGAGAGATTGTTGTCTCTTTGGACACATTTTAGAGAAGGCCTCCATAAGGCAGCGGGGATAGATTCTTTCTAGGACTAAGATGATAGGATTCTGTGAATATATAAATTGGTATTTGCCAATACAAACTTCCTCCTGTGTGGCCCTTTTTATCCAATAATGATTTCCTGCTCTACTTTGGCTGCCAAATATATCCAAAAATGTAATCAGTGTGTAGATTCATAAGTCAAATTACAAGCTTTAGAAATCATGGCCAATGCTCTAATCATTTGTAGCACTGTTTTTTCTTTTTTCTTTCTTTTTTTTTTTTTTTTTTTTTTTGTAGAGATGGGGTTTCACCATGTTGGTAAGGCTTGGTCTTGAACTCCTGACCTCAGGTGATCTGCCCACCTCGGCCTCCCAAAGTGCTGGGATCACAGGCGTGAGCCATCGCACCCGGCCTGTGGTAAAGTTTTAAAGCCAGCCAGTGTTTAAAGGGTCTTGAGTTTTAAACTCAGCCATAGTTTTGTTTTAACCTTTTCTCCTTCCAAAGCCTCAGATATCAGCAAGAATCCTCTTCCTCAAGCACTTTCTTTTCTCATTAGAATTACTCCCAATTTCATCTTGAGTCAAAGTAAAATTTCACAAACCTGGGTCTCCAGGGTACCAACCAAATCAATCCACTCCTGCTACAACCTAATTCTCTAACACTTTTTCTAACCAGGAAAAACGGCTAACCTCTCTTAAGCCCCATATCAAGAGCATCAGCTGTTCGGCCTTAGCACTTTCAGATAGACTGGCTGACCTGGCAGAGTCCAACCAGGTGAGGCAAAGCGGGACCCAGCAACAGGTAGCAGAAATTAGACTTCCAGGCACTAGCTTCTCTCTGGAACGAATTTGCCTGTGACCTACACCTCCACTTTGAATGCCCAAATCCCTGAATCTAGTTTGACAGACCGATAGCTGCCTCCTCTGTCTGCCTCTCTGATTTCCTGCTTTTGCTTAATCCCAGTCCTAACCTCTGGCTCTCTAGCAGTCATTGAAATACTCTCGTTTCCAGTCCTGATGGCTTCCTGGTATTCCTGATTTTGGGGCTTACCATGGCTAGGAAGGAAGATTCCATGATAGCATTTTCCAAAATGCCTTCTGCACGAAGCCAGTGTAGACATGCTCCTCAGACTAAGTTCTCTTGCAGAATCACTATGTGCGATAGCCTCATAGAGGTCTAGGACACCCTAAAGGACACTATAGAGGTCCAGGAATAAAGAGAGAGAAATGACCTGTTTTTAACATTGTCCAACCCAGGGTTTTCCTAACTAGACTGAGCTATTCTTTGGTCAAAATGTCTACTTCTCCCATATTAATCTTCCATCTAAACAGTGAGTTAGGATTCACACTGGGCTCAAACCTTGGCTCTAAGACGTACCGTCTCTGGGCTCAAGTCCCAAGTTCACCACCTCAACCACAGTTTCCATATCAGAAAATCAGTGCTGACATGAGTTTATATCAGCATCACCTTAGGTTGTTGTAAGAATAAGATGCCTTTCCAGCATGTAATCAGCTCTCATTAAAGCTCTATTATTACTTATTTCTCTCCATGTCCACCACAACTCTTCTAGATAAAATTCCACCCACTCTAGATTACTGCATCTGATTCCAGCCAGCCTCCCTGCTTCAGGTGTCTTTCCTGCTCCGGTGATACTGTTGCCTAAGAATCATTACAAAATACTGCTTTTATCAGGTCCCTGTGTTCTTTTTTTTTTTTTTTTTCGAGACAGAGTCTTGCTGTGTCACCCAGGCCTAAGTGCAGTGGTATGATCTCAGCTCCCTGCAGCCTCCAGGTTCAAGTGATTCTCCTGTCTCAGCCTCCCAAATAGTTGGGATTACAGGCACTCGCCACTACGTCTGGCTAATATTTATATTTTTAGCAGTGAGGGTTTCACCATGTTGGCCAGGCTGGACTCAAACTCCTAACCTCAGGTGTCCTCCTGCCTCAGCCTCCCAAAATGCTGGGATTACAGGCATGAGCCACTGCGCCCGGCTGGGTCCCTATATTCTGAAGTCTTTATAAATAAGTGGGCCAGGTGCACTGGCTCCATGCCTGTAATCCTAGCATTTTAGGAGGCCAAGGTGGCAAGATGGCTTGAGCACAGGAGTTTGAGATCAGCCTGGGCAACATAGCAAGATGCCATCTCTACAAAAAAATTTTAAAATTCACCAGGCATGGCCGGGCACAGTGGCTCACACCTATAATCTCAGCACTTTGGGAGGCCGAGGCAGGTGGATCACGAAGTCAAGAGATCGAGACCATCCTGGTCAACAAGGTGAAACCCCGTCTCTACTAAAAATACAAAAATTAGCTGGGCATGGTGGCACGTGCCTGTAGTCCCAGCTACTCAGTAGGCTGAGGTAGGAGAATTGCTTGAACCCAGGAGGCGGAGGTTGCGGTGAGCCGAGATCGTGCCATTGCACTCCAGTCTGGGTAACAACAGCGAAACTCCATCTCAAAAAAAAAAAAATTCACCAGGCATGATGACACATGCCTGCAGTCCTGGCTACTGGGAGACTGACATAGAAGGATTGCTTGAACCCAGGAGTTTGAGGTTACAGTGAGCCATAATTGCACCACTGCACTCCAGCGTGGGTGACAGAGTGAGACCCTGTCCCCTGTCTCTCTCTCTTTTTTTTTTTTTTTTGAGACGGAGTTTCACTCTTGTTACCCAGGCTGGGGTGCAATGGCGCCATCTCAGTTCACTGCAACCTCTGCCTCCTGGGTTCAAGCAATTCTCCTGCCTCAGCCTCCCGAGTAGCTGGGATTACAGGCGTGCGCCACCATGCTCAGCTAATATTTTGTATTCTTAGTAGAGACCGGGTTTCACCATGTTGACCAGGATGGTCTCGATCTCTTGACCTTGTGATCCACCCTCCTCGGTCTCCCAAAGTGCTGGGATTATAGGCTTGAGCCATCGTGCCCGGCTGAGACCCTGTCTCTTTAAAAAAAAAGAAAGAAAGAAAGTGAATTAAATTAGGTCCAAACTCCTCTGACTATGAAAGTTCTCTGTACCTTGGGTGCTTCCTTTTCCCTTCCTGGCCATCAAAACCCCCCAATTACCAGAGTTAAGTCTCCCTCTCTGCCCTATCTCCCAACTCAAGCACATTGTCCCTTCATGCACCAGTTTCTACAAGAAACATGCTTTTTTTCTTAAATTTTTTAAAAATTATTTTATTTTGGGCTGGGCACAGCGGCTCACGCCTTTAATCCCAGCACTTTGGGAGGCCAAAGGGGACAGATTGCTTGAGCTTGGGAGCTCCAGACCAGCCTGGGCAACATGGTGAAACCCTTTCTCTACAGGTAATGCAAAAATTAGACGGGCGTGATAGCATGTGCCTGTAGTCCCTGCTGTTTGGGAGGCTGAAGCGGGAGGATGGGTTGAGCCCAGGAGGTGAAGCTTGCAGTGAGATCATGCCACTGCACTCCAGCCTGGGCTGGACCCTGCCTCAAAAAAAAAAAAAAAAAAATGATTTGAGTTTTTGTGAGTACATAGTAGGTCTGCATATGTATGGCGTACATGGAAAACGTGCTTCTTCAATTGACCTGTTTGGTGAATCGTTCCCACACTACACTGGTCCATATAGACCACTTCCTTCTCTCATCATCCTGTGGTCTGTTCCACACAATTTAGCCCTTAATTATATGCTGTCTTCCATACTCCACTAATTGTTTCCTGTATCTTAGTTTCATCATCTCAAATACGTTGTAAACAACTTGAGGGCAGGGACCACATCGCACACTTTTCTTCTTAATAACCCCAGACAGGCACACGAATCAGGTACTTAATTCATCTTTGTCAATTAACTGAAAGTTAGTCTAACCAGACTGTTAAGGAGAGCTCACAGGACTTGTGCATAATTGGTCGGCACAACCTGAAAGACCCTCAGGTAACCCACACTTGGTACATGTCTGTTTGGTTGAACATAATTTACCTGTTGTCTAAATATTCCCATCCTTTAGCAACCGTTCAGCAAATTGATTTGGGGGTTGAAAATATTGATATTCCAAGATCCACATCCCCTGTGACTTGTTTATAAATAGTGATGAGGGATGAGAGCCCAATGCAGCTTCTCCCAGCTCTCTTTTGGGAGCGGCGCTTCTGTCTTGGGAAGTTTATGCAAATGATTTGATGAGTTGGTGGGAGACTTAATTACTCTCTAGTGAAAACCAGACTGCTCATTACCATCTGTTTCTTCAAGGAGA